AACAGCTCCTCTCTGCTGCTTCCTCCTCCTCACACTTTAGCCCCAGCTGAAGGAAAAAGCCCCTTCCATGAGGGTTTCTCCAGGAACTGCCAGGCAATCTCTGGAGCACCTCCTCCCCTCACCTTGGTCCTCATGGGGCTACTTCTCACACTTTTTCTCCTCACTCTTCACTGCTGGGCAGTGTTTTACTCTTTCTGAAACACGCTTTCCCCAGGCACCATCAGAAGGGCTGAGGTGCTGAGCTGTGTGTCGGTTGGAACCAGCTGGAACCTGCTGTGTCCAGTCCGGAACCTGCTGTGTCCAGCCCGGAGCAGCCCTAGCCCCTCCTCACAGAGGCTGCCCCACAGACCCCACTGCCGGTGCCTGGACACCTAAACCCAGCAGAGTAACCATCTTTAACAGGGTTTCCATGGTCCAGCAGAGACACAGCTACTGTGTAAATACCTACAATCATTTGCTTATGTGTCAGGTGAGGCCATAATGCCTGCCCAATGTTGTACAAAGTGCAAGTTTAGGTTATTCCTTAGGAGAAGCCAAGGCAAGAGTATCAACACTGCATTGTTCAAACATTAGTGCACAGAAGCAGTTTCCAGGTTTAAGATATTTTTGGGCAAAAGGGTTAAAACGCTCTTCTTATTGCACCCTTGGGGATGGCAGGAGTGAATCACACTCAAGTGAACTACCACATTCAACCAGATCCATCTCACACCACTGTCTGACCTGTTCTGCTAACAGCAACTAGCTCATGTTTCAAGGGCATAGAAGCAACCTGCCACATACAGAGCAATAGTTCACCTGAAAAATTCTTGTCTTCTTAGTTCCTGAGTTTTGCTTTTCTCCCCTTCTGTCTTTTGAATTTTGTTCTCTCCTTCAGTATTTGGATTATTTATTTTCTTTTGGCATTTTATCCTCACTCAATGCACTGCACATCATCTTCATTTGTCATCACTTTTGTTCTAATACCTCACAGTAGTCTGACTTTCTTTTTCCATCTAACAAATCATCAGCCTGGCTCTTGTTCTGCAGCTCAGGAAAATTGCCAAGTTTGAAATCCATTGCTCCTCTGTTTGTCTCTTACTCTCTCCTGTTGTATTATTTTGCTTGCATCCCAGGAACCCATCAACATTTGTTGGCTCTGCATACCTGGAGTTTTCTGTACTGTTTCCTCTTCTCTGCTTTAATGTGTTTTCAGAGGTAGGTAAGAATTCCACCCTTACCTCTAACCACACTACTGATCTTCAAACATTGTTTTAGCAAGTCCATCTCTCAGGTAGCTATTTGTTCCTAACTATGCAAGTATATTTCTTCCTCCACACATATACTTACTCAGTACTCACTGTTGTCTACTTCCCCAGCTTTTAGGCTTTTCTGCCAGTCTCACTGCCACAGAAACTGTCCCTTTGCAGGCTTCAAAGCTAATTGAAAGAATCCCATCAGCAATTGCAATCATATTCTTGGTTCACTTCAGCAGCATTATGCTCAAGCATTGTAAAGGATGTACCAGAAGGGAACTGACTGACTGTATTTATAACCAAACTGTAACACCACCACCTCATAAAGCTGATGATTCCAATCAGTGAATTGGAATCAGTAAGGGCATAATTAGACAAGTCTCAATTTGCAAGTCAATGGCAATCATTTAGCTGTTAGGCAAAGCAATGCTTCCAAATCAAGATAGTCCTTTTGATGCAGTGCCTCAATATCAGGAACATGACATAAGATGGAACAAGACATAAGCAGCATTTGAGCTATTCCCAAAAATATGACTCAGGAAAGGATAAAACCCACAGTTACTACATTAAGTCACTGCCTTCTCAAATGTGACAGAACAGTAATAACCACTTCAGCAGGTAAGAAGAAAAGTTGGCATAATTAATGCAACATTTTCCTTGAAGTGGACTTGACACTTTAGTACGAATAATAATTTAAATAAAGGTAGGAACTCACACTACATGTAAAGCTGGCCATCAAGCCTTAAAATGCAGTATAACCTTTTTCCCCTGTAGCTAGTTTTACTAGCCCACCAAAACTGCCCTTACGCCATCACAGTAACATGAAATGACAAATTGAGCTAAAGACTTAAACACTCTGCAGTGCTATCAGAAAGAATCCATGTCATGAAAAATTTCTAACACAATGGCTATTTGAGTTGTTCCTGCATAGAAAACTATGTCAGTCTTTTCCCCAAACAAAATCTTTCCACTAAAATAATGATTCTGATTTCCATGCAAGAACTATTTTTTTCCTATAATTTTTAAAATTTTTATTAATTAAGAGTTGATAGGAGATAAGAAAAACAGGAAACCCCTCATTTAACAGGGAGGCTGGCAATGATTAATTATGCAAGAATAAAATGAATTGGTTATGCATCAACATAAAACCCATGTCATACATTATACCTAATAGGCTGGAAAATCAAACTTCTATTTATTGTCAGAGTAAAAAGAGAAGACATAAGACTTTTGCTTGATTTTAGAAAAAGTAAAACAATAGCTCTTGGGATTTCCTTTTTAGGCATGAATTCAGAAACAAGAAGCATTTAGATGTATGCATCTAACAGACAACAGAACATATTTTAGCTAAGTTTTTAGCAAGGTTTCAGTGTCTGGGTAGTTTGCAAGGTGGGGGAGATTTGCCAATTTTGTTGACAGAAATAAAACAATCTACAGTGAACATCCTGACCTTTGTCTTACTTACTCAGAACTATTGAAACATCTGTTTTAGTCCTGAACTCCACAATCCAGCAGCGCTCCAGGATTACCACTTCAGCAGCTTCAGAACTCTGTGAGACATAAAGATGACAAAATGTTTGTATTTGGAACCTGACTGGGAAGTCCTTCTGTTTGGCTGTTCACAGCCAACAAAACGTGTAGACATAAAGACAGCAAAGCATAATAGTTTCTTGGCAGATGGATACAGGAATCCTTTAATTACTAATCAGTGCCATTCTACTTCAGCACAATGAGTTACAATAGGAATGAACTGTTAGAAAAGACCACGTAGGAAACTAAGAAAAAAGGAACTCAATAGTTAAATCTCACACCACTGTCTGACCTGTTCTGCTAACAGCAACTAGCTCATGTTTCAAGGGCATAGAAGCAACCTGCCACATACAGAGCAATAGTTCACCTGAAAAATTCTTGTCTTCTGTCTTTTGAATTTTGTTCTCTCCTTCAGTATTTGGATTATTTATTTTCTTTTGGCATTTTATCCTCACTCAATGCACTGCACATCATCTTCATTTGTCATCACTTTTGTTCTAATACCTCACAGTAGTCTGACTTTCTTTTTCCATCTAACAAATCATCAGCCTGGCTCTTGTTCTGCAGCTCAGGAAAATTGCCAAGTTTGAAATCCATTGCTCCTCTGTTTGTCTCTTACTCTCTCCTGTTGTATTATTTTGCTTGCATCCCAGGAACCCATCAACATTTGTTGGCTCTGCATACCTGGAGTTTTCTGTACTGTTTCCTCTTCTCTGCTTTAATGTGTTTTCAGAGGTAGGTAAGAATTCCACCCTTACCTCTAACCACACTACTGATCTTCAAACATTGTTTTAGCAAGTCCATCTCTCAGGTAGCTATTTGTTCCTAACTATGCAAGTATATTTCTTCCTCCACACATATACTTACTCAGTACTCACTGTTGTCTACTTCCCCAGCTTTTAGGCTTTTCTGCCAGTCTCACTGCCACAGAAACTGTCCCTTTGCAGGCTTCAAAGCTAATTGAAAGAATCCCATCAGCAATTGCAATCATATTCTTGGTTCACTTCAGCAGCATTATGCTCAAGCATTGTAAAGGATGTACCAGAAGGGAACTGACTGACTGTATTTATAACCAAACTGTAACACCACCACCTCATAAAGCTGATGATTCCAATCAGTGAATTGGAATCAGTAAGGGCATAATTAGACAAGTCTCAATTTGCAAGTCAATGGCAATCATTTAGCTGTTAGGCAAAGCAATGCTTCCAAATCAAGATAGTCCTTTTGATGCAGTGCCTCAATATCAGGAACATGACATAAGATGGAACAAGACATAAGCAGCATTTGAGCTATTCCCAAAAATATGACTCAGGAAAGGATAAAACCCACAGTTACTACATTAAGTCACTGCCTTCTCAAATGTGACAGAACAGTAATAACCACTTCAGCAGGTAAGAAGAAAAGTTGGCATAATTAATGCAACATTTTCCTTGAAGTGGACTTGACACTTTAGTACGAATAATAATTTAAATAAAGGTAGGAACTCACACTACATGTAAAGCTGGCCATCAAGCCTTAAAATGCAGTATAACCTTTTTCCCCTGTAGCTAGTTTTACTAGCCCACCAAAACTGCCCTTACGCCATCACAGTAACATGAAATGACAAATTGAGCTAAAGACTTAAACACTCTGCAGTGCTATCAGAAAGAATCCATGTCATGAAAAATTTCTAACACAATGGCTATTTGAGTTGTTCCTGCATAGAAAACTATGTCAGTCTTTTCCCCAAACAAAATCTTTCCACTAAAATAATGATTCTGATTTCCATGCAAGAACTATTTTTTTCCTATAATTTTTAAAATTTTTATTAATTAAGAGTTGATAGGAGATAAGAAAAACAGGAAACCCCTCATTTAACAGGGAGGCTGGCAATGATTAATTATGCAAGAATAAAATGAATTGGTTATGCATCAACATAAAACCCATGTCATACATTATACCTAATAGGCTGGAAAATCAAACTTCTATTTATTGTCAGAGTAAAAAGAGAAGACATAAGACTTTTGCTTGATTTTAGAAAAAGTAAAACAATAGCTCTTGGGATTTCCTTTTTAGGCATGAATTCAGAAACAAGAAGCATTTAGATGTATGCATCTAACAGACAACAGAACATATTTTAGCTAAGTTTTTAGCAAGGTTTCAGTGTCTGGGTAGTTTGCAAGGTGGGGGAGATTTGCCAATTTTGTTGACAGAAATAAAACAATCTACAGTGAACATCCTGACCTTTGTCTTACTTACTCAGAACTATTGAAACATCTGTTTTAGTCCTGAACTCCACAATCCAGCAGCGCTCCAGGATTACCACTTCAGCAGCTTCAGAACTCTGTGAGACATAAAGATGACAAAATGTTTGTATTTGGAACCTGACTGGGAAGTCCTTCTGTTTGGCTGTTCACAGCCAACAAAACGTGTAGACATAAAGACAGCAAAGCATAATAGTTTCTTGGCAGATGGATACAGGAATCCTTTAATTACTGATCAGTGCCATTCTACTTCAGCACAATGAGTTACAATAGGAATGAACTGTTAGAAAAGACCACGTAGGAAACTAAGAAAAAAGGAACTCAATAGTTAAGATTTTTTTTTCATACTGAAGGTATACAAAAGTTTAGGTGCCACCTCACTCCTAAGCAAATCAGGCAAGCCCAGCTCATTCCAACTTCCATATTTACTAATAAGGCTGAATAAAACATTGAATTCTGTTCAGAGAGGAGGATATTTTCAAGTGAACAAAATAACATGCAATCTTGCAGTAGGCATATCTCTTCAATTTTCATTTAAAAGCGATTCCTTTATCGTCAGTTGGAACTTTGAGAGTTGTCTCTGGCTATGCAATTCAAATGACATTAAGTGATATGGACCTATTGCAGACTGCAATATGATCCAAATTACCACTATCATTTCCTGTGAGTGCTGTGCAGAGAAAATGCAGACTTCTAGTTTAGTCAGTGTGACTCATTTTTCAGAAGAGTGAAGCTATCAATCACTCCTTCAGAGTTAATCTTTTTTTTCCCCCCTTAAAACTTATTATCCATTTTTTATCCCTAACATCTGGTAACAAATAACCCTTAGAACATGCACCATACATTTCCTCACTGCAGGTTTCCAATATGAATGTCATAGAGCCCATTCTCTACTTCAGTGAGATTCAGGGATTAATGTGAATTTTGATTTTAACATTCCTTCCTCAAGTTACTTCTTTACTCCAAGTGATCTTGCAGATGAAAAATTTCTCACGTTGTGGACCAATTTCACCAAAAGCCTGACATGTCTGACACTTAATAAATGACTTAATAAAAAAGCTCATGTTTGTAACACCTGTCTCATATATACAAGTTTCTTGTCTACCACTTTCTCTGCATTTATACTGTGTTATTTGTCCCACCAGAATCAGATTCAAACTTTTTTCCAAGAGTTTCATGTTAATATTTTAATTGGCGGTTTCATGTTGCCCCTCCTCATAAAAATGACCCTTTACTTACCAAGTAAGGCCATCAACTTTCATGAGTAAAGAAGTGAAAATTTAATACAGTAAGATTGTATGACTACAGTAAGACTGACAAGTAACAAACAGGTAACATTTCAGAAAGTCCACCAAGATTTTCCTTGAGAAAACCTATATTTATTCTCTCTCTCCCACCCTTTATCATTCATTAAACAAATACTCCAAACCCAGTTATCACAGCACAAATCAACATCCAAATGTGACAAAAGGTTAAAATAAAACAGAGGGACAGGGAAAAAAACATATGATGTTATATTGAAACATCAGACATCAAGAGAGAAGGTTTAATACGCTATGAAAAAGCAATCAGACTCATCTAGAAACCATTTCTACATTGGTTTCTTCAAATTATTATTCAGGGTGGACTAAAACAGATGTGTTGTCCTGTAGACTGAAGAGCAGCTAACTGACAGAAAAGCAAAGAAGAAAAGAGAAAGCAAAGAAGAAAAGAGAAAGCAAAGAAGAAAAAGAGAAAGCAAAGAAGAAACGAGAAAGCAAAGAAGAAACGAGAAAGCAAAGAAGAAACGAGAAAGCAAAGAAGAAAAGAGAAAAAGAGAGATAAAGTAGTGAAATAGTGCAGTGAGTTTTGGGAGAAATACTAGTGCTACATTGGGAGCTTTTTTATTTATAGAACCCAGCAAGTTGAGCACACAGAGCAACCCAGAGGCAATTCTCAGGTGCTATTGACTGAGACATTCTTTGAGGTTCTAATAGGGAAAGTAAAATATAAAAAGTCTTTTTGAGAAAGAGCTAAATTCAGCTTTGGAAAACAAGCTATAATTGTTCAAAAAAACAAACAACTGACTAAATAGGAAGAATCCACTGCAATGATGCTGCTAACTACCACAATTCTTTAGATTTTGAAAATATTAGCACCAATACAGTCTCCCAGATAGCTCTCACCTGAAAAGTGTATAATACAGCTTCAAGAGCTGGCTATCTTTCAGGAAAGATATGACCAAAAGAAGGGGTTTATTTCAGAAGTTAACAAAGGTCTGAGACAATTTAACACTTGGCTGTGAGTGCATTAAAGGCTCCTATCCAGTCTCTGTCCAAAAATAGTCAAGCAATTCTAACAGCTTTTCTCCTCGTCATCTACCTGCTGACATTCATGCCCTGCAGATGAAACATGCAAATGTGACAAATCTTTAATCTTAACACTTCCTTCAAAACACATCTGCAGTAAGCAGAAGCCTGTCATTACAGAATGAGAAGCAACTCCATGTTTTACAGCTTCCTGACAAGTCAGATAATTGGAAAGGCAAGGAACAGAGAATCCTAGCTTCCATGTAGGTTGCTATAGTTGCCAAGGCTTAAAGGCTTGATGTTTGGATTTGTATTTGAAAGGCATACATGCAATACAAACAAACTGACAGGTGGTTAGCAAAAAATAATTATCAAATAATTAGTAATCATTTGTGTTAGGAAGGTTTTTCTCAGAATGAAGCAGACATGCAACAGTAACTACAAACACAGAAGAGGAATGTTCAGAGTCTTTCCAGCTTTCTGTGTTTTAGGACAGCAGATAGTGCAGCACAAGTCTCTTTAGAAACAAGTTACTACAGCCTCTACACCAGTAGAAGCTTGAATGAAAAAATGCTGCAACTTCAAATTACTCCAAATGCTTTTCCAAGACACGTAATCAAGAAGAGTGATCTGAGGATACGCATTTACTTTTTCTGTGAGAGGGAATAAGAAAGGAAACGAGAAAAAGATAAGAGCATAATGCTGCCAGAACAGTACAAGTTACTGCAAAACATCTCCCACATCCTGACACAAAACAGAAGAAAAAAAGCCTCAGCATTATTATTATTGCAGACTTTTCATCATTTAGATGTGCTATGCTCTGTTTGCTACACAAAAAGCTAAAAAAACCAAAAACAAAAAACCAAACAACAAACCCCTATGCATTTAAAAGTGAAATGACAAAATCATCAAGGGAACCATTATGCATATCTGCTAGTGATCAGCTTTGTCAGTATCTGAGGAGATGCAAAATTTCTTTCTTACTTTACATACATAACATGAGCTTATTTGAACTACCAGTTATTTTTCTACATTTGATTTTAATAAAAAGGTAACTTCTAGGGATCTGGCCTTTATATATGACAAATAGGATCAAAATCAGTAATGTACTACAATCGAATATATCAAGGTTTTTTTCTTCCTACCATTAGTAAATTTGGATAATTGTTATACAAAAGCTTTGGTTCAATCCAAATTCCAAACAGCAACTAGACCTTGAATTATTACATGTCTTAAAATACTAACAAAGTCTATGGCAGCAGAACCTACTACACCACACCCTAGAGAAAAAAGGTGCTCTAAAACAATTATTTGGGGAGAAAATCAAATCATTCAGAAATCTAAGTTAAATATTCTAGTAACTTCGCTCAAGTAGAAGAGAGCCCAAACTCTAGGATTAGCAGAAACCCTTTCAGTTCACTTGACCAAATAATTGGCCAAGCTTTACTATCAGTAGGTTACTGTAAATCCAAAGTTCTTCTGTCTTACTAAATCCACAACTGTCTATTGGAACTGGCACAAATTTCAAACCAGAGTAGTGAAGACATCCCTGTTTCTGTGATGCCTAAAAGTGAACTAAGCACTAGTCATACCAAAAGACACGAGTAGCATCTGCTAACTTCTTATTCATACTTACATAAGTGTGCAGCTCTTTTTAATGTAAAGGAATTTTAATGATATTGAACTGGCAACCATCATTAAAGTTCTTAGCTCCAGATTCATGAGCAATCTGAAGCATTTATTGTCAAGAGAAGTTTACTGATGAAGCAGAAAATACCATTTTTACAGTTCAGAAGTGTATAAAACAAAAACACATCCTACAGCAGTGAGGGATGTGCGCAGAATTTGAGATAATGCTGGTACATTTTTTCTGGTGTTTCTAATGATCTGCACCAAATTTGTTACTTACATTATAACTGGAAGTGTTAACCACGTTATTGCAGACTCCAGTCTGCCATTTTTCTTTGGCCTGGGAAGAAAAAAACTTTCAAAAAATGGTTTTGCATTGCATTTCTGCAAATCTTGATGCACCATTGTGAGCGTGAGGAAGTGTCATGATAAAAGGGGTTTTACAACAGGAGGCTTGTTGCTGGGGGGGGGTGGTCAGAAATAAAAATCTGTTAAGCTATATCAAGTAGCAAACAGGTAAAATTAGAAGTGACATTCCAAGCGATTCCTCTGTGTTAAAACATAAGTAGAAAAGTAAACATATAGCATTGTAGAAAAAGCAAAAACTATAAAAAGTAAAAACTCTTCTAACAAGAAATTATAAAAAGCCTCCACAGTCAAGTGGGGCAAGGGTGTGTGCCTGGATGAATTTTACAGTGTTTTGTTTTTTTTTTTTAAAAAAAAAAAAAGCTTATTTTTGCAAACTTTAAATACCTATATTGAAAGCCTTACAGAGCGGGAATGTTACGTACAACAATCTACTTATCATACTGTTCAAATCAGTTATTTCCTGCCTGCGTTTATACATATTCCTACGATAAAAACAGGTTAGAAATTTTACAGATGGTAACAAACCATAACTAAAATGGACAAAATTATAGTCACACAGAAGTAAAACAAAAGACTATGCTAGGGAACAAAAAGAATGAAACTACATTCACAGAATGGTCAGGGTTGGAAGAGACCTCATAATATCATTTAGTCCAACCCCCCTGCTAGAGCAGGATCACCTAGGGCAGATCACACAAGAACACATCCAGACAGATTTTGAATATTTCCAGTGATGCTTCTCTGGGAAGCCTGTTCTAGTGCTCTGTTGCCCAAAATGCAAATTATGAGAATTG